CTAAATCGCACGAGTTATTTACTGAAATTCTTATATTTGACATACTGTCTGAATCATGGTTTTTCTGTTATCTTGCCTTCGTTAGAGTTAATGAAAAGCCGTTTTATCCTGTCGCTTTCTTTGTCTTCAAGTGAAACAACTGGCGGTAGGGGCAAGGACTTTTCCCCCGGTGTTTAGATAGTTTAAATACGTGCTGCCACTCTATTCTTATTTTCCAAATAGGAATAGAGGGACAGCATGTATAAATCCTTGTCATTGTATGAATAGGAGCATGAACATATTGAATAACTTAAAATGAATTAAAATATTTAAAAATTTTATTTACTGAAACATTTAAAAACCAAAATAAATAGAGAAAAAAAGAAAGTACAATTCCCAAAGTACATGTGAGTTACACAATTGACTTTTTGTTTAACGGTTCATTTAGACATTTCTTGAAGCTATTTTCAAACGTTTGAAGTCGACATATTGCATTGTGTTTCGTGAAGATAATCGATTATGACCAAGTGGAAATGCGTTTACTACCATTTGAACTTGTAGGTAAACTTCATTTTATTTCATTAATCACGTAACAATGATCACCATATGATTAAATAAGTCACCATTCATCGTATTAATCCACAAGGCCATATGCGTATGGTCGGACCATATGAGTATATATGCATAAGGTCCTGACCACAGGCGTATGGTCTAATTACTTACTGTAAACCAACTAATTCGGTACGTTGTGTCGGTGTTTCAACATAGAAACGACAGTTTTTGAAGTCTCAGATCTTTCAATACAAGTACAGTCGTCTGAAGTGTAATTTTACCAATTGTGACAGTCTGACGGAGTGTGGATTCATCTGTTTAGGTTCTTATACATCCTTCGCTCTCAAATATTTGGCTGTGAACGTTCCTGATGGAGGTGAATCCAGACAAGCGATTTCGGACTCATGAAAGTTTTAGCGTGTTCTTTTAATTTTTTCATTCGATTCTCTAAGTGTGTCTTCGTCTTATCTGGAGTTGTATTTTCTCGATTGAGTTATGATGATTCTCTTTTATTTCTTTTTTTAAATAGATATTGTTCAGAGATGAGGAATGACGGCCTTCCTTGATGAGCAAAATTTATACCGTATGTTAAACTAGAAAAGGTCTTGACATGTCATAATGTAAATAAATTCAAACAACAAAACCAACAGTTTGATTAATCATTAAAACAACAAACGAAAAACAATTATGACAAACAGCAACTAACGGCACCCACTAAATATATTGCATAAACACCACGTTGCGGGGTTACACATGTTTCCAGCGTTTAATTCCGTAATCGAAAGTATATACTAGGGTTATCGGGGTTCTCAACCTAAAAAGGATATTGGATTCAATATCCAAATCCGATGGGATGCATCTGTCAGATCAGATAAGACGGACAGTAGATTAGTTTTATTCTTAACATTATGTTTTACTGTAAATTAAGAAATTAGTGCGTGTATTTATTATTGCGATTTTTGAAGAATGGACAAAAATGCGAGATTAGTTATTGCGATTTCAGGAAATTTGCATTAAGATATATGTATAAGGCACCAGAATGCGAGTTCTTGTTAATGCGATACTCGCCCAGTCGCATCATTCGCATTAATAAAAAACCTCGCAATGATTTCTGAATTTATCAAAAAAAAAAGAAAAAAAAAAGAGATACCTTTGGGAATCTCATTAGGCTCGAATGCCAGCTTCTTCCAATAGAATTAACATATTTGACTTTTCTACCCTTTACACAAGTATTCCCTATTCCAAACTAAAAGACAAATTTAACGAATTGGTTTGGTTTGTTTCAATGAAAATAAAAAAAGAATAAAAAAACTTAGATACAAGTATCTTTTCTTAAAGTGAGATAAGTTATACTTTGTAAAAGCTGTCTCTGATTCAAACAAAACATTTTCTGAAACTGATTATTTAGATGCCCGATACCTTGACTGACAACATATTTGTTACGTTAGAAGGCGTGTTTTTTTTAAAACTAACTATCGGCATTCTGTTCTCCTGTTCTTGCCGACTCCTTCCTTTATTCAGCTTTATCCTTTAACTTCGCGTTCCGCTATATAGATAATGTCCTCTCACTACATATGTCAAAGTTAAGTGACTATGTTGAACGTTTCTATCCCATAAAACTTGAAATAAAGAATACAACAGATGCATATAAGTCTGCTCATATCTTGGCTTACATCTAAAAATTGACAATGTGGGTCGATTGAGAACAAAAATTTACAACAAAAGAGATGATTTCAGTTTTCCTATTGCGAACTTGCTATTTTCTATGTAGCAACATTCCAACAGTGCCTGCATGTGGGCTATATATCTCGCAGTTGATACGATATTCAAGAGCTTGTATTTCTTATCATGATTTCCTTGATAGAGGGTTGCTGCTAACAAGGAAGCTTTAAAACCACGAGCTCCACGAAATGAATCATCTCATAAGAAATTGTATGTACGTTATCACGAGTTGGTTGTTTCTGTTTCACAGATTACGATGGATGACGATGACGATGGATGACGATGACGATGGATATGCTCAAATGTTGGTTACCACAATCACGTCCTCATTTCCTCGATTGTGATCTGTTCAGTAAGACTTATCACCGGGTTTTAGATTACAAGAGCAACCCGACAGGTCCTACACGTGGACCAGGATCTGTTCACCTTTCAGGAGCACATGAATTCACTGTTTTGGTTAGGTTCGTATTGCACACAACTTGGAGTGTTTTGTATACTGTTTATTTTGCTATGTTATTGTAAGTTTGTTTTTCGGCTATTGAGTTTAAATGACCCTTTGGTATATTTTGGCTACCTTTAAGTGATGTACCCTTACACAACAACTGCTACAACAAAGAAATGAGGAGGAACAACTCTCCCAAAAAAATAGAGAATCATTCTTCGGGAAATACTTGTCCCAAGTCAGGAAAATGGCGATTGTCATCCAGTCTTTCCGTTGATGGATAGTGTCGAGCGATTGGTTTTGTAAATTCTTTTTATGAACTTTACCATTTGAATTTACTGGGAGTTCGACATTTTTTTAAATACATTTTTTTCTAATCGACACTACATAGATTTTACTGTCACCATCCCGATTCAATTGACCGATACAATATGTATCTTTCTTTACTCACTCACTGGCGACATCTTTTCCCCGTCGTAAATATTAAGATACCAGAATATTTGTCTAATCTGTAGTGTTACCGATTGTGTCTCATTCCCGGTTGGAATATTTTCACTGATTGTGGATACATTGTACGTATGACAGTTGATAAAATTGAGAATGAAAATGAGGAATGTGTCAAAGAGACAACAACACGACCGAAGAGCAGAAAACAGCCCAAGTCCACCAATTGGTCTTCAACACAGCGAGAAAATCCCGCACCCGGAGGCGCGCTTCAGCTGGTCCCTAAACAAAAATGTGTACTAGTTCAGTGAAAATGGACGTCATACTAAACTCCATAACATTTAAATGAACTAAAATTAAAAAACATACAAGACTAACAAAGGCCAGAGGTTCCTGATTAGGACAGGCGCAAAAATTGCGGCGGGGTTAAACATGTTTTGTGAGATCTCAACTCTCCCCTATACATCTAGCCAATGACAATGTAGAATAAACAAACACGCAGCAATACGCACAGAAAAATTCAATTTAAAAGAAGTCCATGAATGACCGGATATCTTTAACCTGTCAACAAACCCGGTGATGCTACTCCTGAAGTTCATGCGATTTCTTATTTGATTCATGAGATTGAACATCGATTAACTACTATTGCCTAAACAATTTAATACTTATGAAAAGAAAGACAACTCTGACAAAAAACTGATGACGATTATTACGTGTCAAGTGCATTGTCTGTTCTAGCCTCTACATATTTATTTCGACGATTTATTAGATGCGTGATAACGACACTAGTAATGAATTTTAGTTTAAACGGTCATTTTGATATTAACATCATTTGAAAATAGCTGCCCAATGAATTATTCAGTCTTTGTCAGTCTTTCGTTCAACTTTTGTGCTTAAATCCCCTGCGATAAATTCGGTTTTCAGATAATTCGCTTGTAGTCCTTTCAGTAATGTTCAGTATCTTTTCAGACAATTCAGTATGATGTTGATGTGGACAGGTAAATCACAATTACTGAAGAGTCTGAACATAGACTGCACATGTACAGATCTTAATTGACCTGACGCGAATTATTTAAACAATACTGAATTTACCGCAGTCGATAAGTCTGAAAATTGACTGAAAGACTGATCATGACATAATAATTTATTTTTGAGTCATTTTATAGCTATTACATTCGAAATGAGCGTTTCAAATCAAACTTGTTTTACTTTATGTTTATGTTTGGTTTGTTTATACGTGTTAATCATTAAAAAACATGACACTCCAGGCAGGATAACATGGTCAGCAACCTTTATACGTTGATCTGTATTCAATTCAGCTTGTTTTAGAAATTTTATTTGTATCATTAAATATATTACAAGTGCATAAAGGTAGAAAATTTAAACGACAAACATTTTGATTTTATGGGAATGTACCTTCTACATTACTAAGCACTGAAGTGTAAATTCTTACGAAAATCTTGCTGAATCATCTATCATCAACACATTTGCAAATACAAATTAAAAGTACATTCATTACATATAAAGAGAAAGCAAAATATTTGTCTTGGAAAATCAATAACGATACTTGGCATTTAATTTCTTTGATTTTCAGACTGGAAACTTTGTATAGCCTCAGTCTATGACCTATTACATGTATAATGCGAAAATAAATTTAAATTGAAATGTTATTTCTGAAAAATTAGTTGCAACATGCAGATTTAATCCCATTATTCTAAACAATTAGATAAAACATGGATATTCAAGGGAATGATTCATAAGATATGGATTGAGTCTGTACGGCATTGCACATCGTAATGCAGTTTTAAACATTCTATATTGTTTTGTTAATCTTAAATAACAGTTCCAGGTAAGATTTTTCGGCCCTTTTTATCATTGCTATTTTTCAAATTGATATTTACAGAAAATTGATGATTTTTGACGCAGATCATATACATGACTATTTCTGTGTTACATTAAAAAAGGAAGAAATATTGTTTTAAAACACAACATCTGCGGCAAAGAATGCAGTATTCACAGTTCGTTTATAGGAGGAAGGTGCGTTCAAAGATGTCAACATATTTTATATTCTGTTTAGTTTTATCATTTTTCGTTAGAACGGAAGGTATGTTAATAAGTGTATACTTTAGAATGTGTTTACTTGCATGTTTTTAGAGACTAGAGATTTAGATTGCAATCTAGAACTTTGAAATTTAACCTGCATTTTATCCGATTCGAATTTAAATACATTATAAATTTTATGGTTGTAAGGTTCTGATAGCAATCTTTAAATCGGACGTTGAAAAAATGAATTAGATGTTCCATACTGAACTAATGAGGTCCTCGTCAATTAAGGCTTTTCGAAAGGAAATTGCATGTTTACGTTAAAAGCGTTGTAAAATATGCATTGTTTGCACTTTAAATTATGAAATATTGCATAATTGTTACTCGAACATGAAAATTAAAACTGATTATGACTACCGACAAATTATATACTATTTAATATTTATACTTTCTGAAATAGGCCAAATTGAATATCTAGCAATTCAAGATACAAATGTACAAATGTACTGAATTCACTTAAATATTGATTAAGCTATTGAACAGTTCGACTTCAAATTATACGAATTCACACTTGCTTTTAACCTTTCGGCGTTTTTAACGCAGTTAGGACAATACTCCTTCTTCTACTAAAAATAAATTGTAAAATCATGCAAAATGTACAACAATTTTTAAATGCATATATAAGCATTCACCAATGATCTAGTTGCAATTCAAAATTGTACGAATGTTCACGAAATTGTCCATTTACGTACCTCAATACATTTAAAAAGATACCGAGGTTAAGGGTTGGGGTTTTTTTTTGGAGGGGGGTGGTTGGGGGGTAATCCAATACTATAAATCGTAGAAAAACAAACACAATACCATAAACCGTAGAAAAACAGGCACACAAACTGCTATTGCCATAATTCAATAGACAAAAAGACACATCATAACAGTCAACGGATGGCTGACCAGTTCCTGCTTCGATAGTTGCAACGTTCGAGTTTGCAAATGTAAAATACATATGCGGCATTTTTTTAATAAACGAAAAAACTAAAACGCGATGCCGGCATGAAAGTGAATATGAGACAATTCTATATTCATATTCGTACTCGATAAGGCCTTTTTTACTTTTGTGAGTATTTTTTAGACGAGAAGCCTGTCTGGCGTACATAATTTTAATCCTGGTATCTATACTGAGTTTATTTGCCTGTTTAATCACTACTTATTATGATTTTTACAAGGTTGCAGCGTTTGTCCAGATGGAATTCGAAAATTCGCATGCTTTGTAAATCCATGTAGGCAAATCAGTTGTGATGGTGCAACGTGCAGGTTAGCAACGATTCAAATTAAATTTTAGTGTTTTGGAGTTTCTTGAACTTATTTTGACCAATGGGCATTGCATAGAAATAATTTGTTTTCCGTCATAAAAACCAAGGCGTCTAACATTTGCAGATGGTTTTATTTAAAGAAATAGAAAAACATTCATGATGAGTGGAAGAGCATGACCCAATATTTCCGACGAAGAAAATTAAAGGGTTTTATCATAAAAGACCTGGTGTTTACCTAAGGTTTTCAACAATTTGTGTTTGGATGTCGAACTCATACAGCAATATTTAATCTACACTGAGTTGTTACAAATATGGACTACTCTAGCACGAACATTTAAATTAAATTTTAGTATATTATAGACCAATAAACATGTTCGAATCACAGTGTCTGTAACCCAATATATAGATATAACCTTTTTGGAACAAATGTACACAGTCCATGTTCAACATCTCTAAATATGCTCCTGTTCGATTATCAGTGTCCGTGATATGTGGTCATGTGCAGGAAGTATACATGCGCAAATAGGTCCACATATCAAGAATGGAATAACCAATAAAGGATTAATTGTTTTCTCAATATCTTTTATCATCTATAATGTTTGATTATTGTACCTTGTTTCAGCAGCTGATTTGACTTTTTTACTACTCACAAATTTTAACATTGTTTTACTGATTGTATATAATGTAAAAAAAAACAACACTTTATATATTTAATCCGTCCAGAGCACTTTTCTAGTGTACCTTCTTCAGGAACACTCAAATCCGTATAGTTAAAAGCAAAGGATTATAACAACCGTTGAAGAGCCATATGACCATAAAGAACCTGGTAATCATAGCTAAATCCATCTCAGGTCAACTCTGCCTGAGTGTTGAAACTTGAGTTTCTTAATAATTCATAAATGTATAAACGGACGATTTTAGAAAAGGTTGTTATAATCATATCAATAACTAAGTACTGACAACTAAACTAATAATACCCTCGGTAGTCAACCAGCAGCAGTATGGACCCACCGGGAACGATCCATTAGAGCCGAGTATATTTAAACCGTCATTATTAGGTCAAAAGTGTACTCTTTTGTCCAGGCTGATATCCTTTGCAGGAAAGGAATTGACAACTTTAACAACAGGCAATTTTTAAAGACATTTAGACTTATTCATTATCTTATTTGTGACCCTAGACCGATGGCCGTTTGAGCAAATACGTAGCTGTAACATATACATTTATACTACGATTTGATTTTTCATCTTATTAGGCCAAACTATTGTGGAGGTTGTAATAGGCTATGGTATCAGAATGGTATGGATGTAACAAAACTGTGTGGTATGTATTTTTATTTAAGTATTAAAGTAGATTAATTTATACCGCAATCTTGGATTGTAAAATAGTAGTTCTAAATAGATCTAGTTCTTTGCTTAAATCCGCAAATTTTGAGACAGATTGGCAATTAATGGGTAAGACGAGGTCGGTGACACCGTTTTTTCTTTTTATTTTCTTAAAGCATATTTTAAAACCAATGTTCTCATATTTCATTTTCAAATTATTTCATAGATTTCTTTTCATTCACATAAAGGCGTTTTTTTGTGAACATATATGCAAATTTGGGCAATTATGAACGACTTGAAGCTTGAAAAATAACACGGTGACCCATACGTTTTATTATATTTTTGATAAAAAGCATGGGAAAATCTACATTCTGGCAAAGTATAAGAAAATTCTATCTGAGGAAATATATACCAATGATCCAACTTATAAGAAGATTACTTATTATATCAAATACAGAAATATGGATGTTGAATAAAGTAAATTATGCAGGATTTTAGTTGAAAAAAGTAAGCATGCAAGATTATGTTTATCATTTATTTCAAAGGTTAAGCATACTTAAGTTAATTTGACATTACAGTTAACTTTTTGATGAATTATCAATCAAGTAATGGGATAAAATTATTTCATCACATATGATCTCTTTTCCACAATTAAATTTGGTAGAAATCTGCAGGTTATTGTTGACCGATTAAATGTATATGTGTCTCAACTAACAAACGACATGTTACATTTTGACTTAGTGTAGATTTGCATGACGAGTAATGCATCATAGCACAAGACGTGTACTCTGTCGACGCATCTTGTTCCTCTCTTATTTCATTTCATGCTATTCCGGTTTTCATTTTTATCGTTGATTTGTATATTCTGAACTGATTTATGAAAACCCCTTATTGAGACACTGCACTCATCCGGGTGCTTGGCTGAATGAACTTGTGTAAGCAAAATGAAATGCAAGATCTGTAATACATGTTTTAGCCAAACAGAAATATATTTTAAAGTTCCTGTTAAAAAGCCAAATGTGTTTTCCAAAATTAGCAACTTTTGTTATTAATGAAGTTCGCTTCTCTTGTTTTTGATATTCGAATCCTCCATTTTTCTGCATGCATTGGCATTAAAAATTTGGCCCGCAAACTCCTTCTTTTCTTTGCATAATGTTAAAACATATAGTTTAAAAAGCTATTTTTGAAAATCCTATAAATTCCATGTTTTTCTCATTGTCTTTTAAAGAAAAAAAAGGTGCCAATGTTAAACGAATAAAAAATCTAGAGAAAATCGTTACCCGCCAAATTTTCAATTGCTTGTATCTCAAAAACAATTATTACATGGACTTTTCCTTTTTTTTTGTGCTTTTTAAGATGTGTTATTCATATACTTTCAGTCGATACCAGTCTTTTAAAACTTATTATTTTATAACAGAGGAGCAAACATTCTTAATTGAAAACAATAAATAAAAGTTCATGGTTTCAAGTTAACGATTTGTGAAATTTTACTGCATTTTGTAGTGCTTATTTTTTGTAGAATTTCAGTGTCCAAGTGTAGCAAACTGTTTACCGGGAGTTGAAGTAGTGACTTGTTTTGTGGATCCGTGCAAACCCCTAGGTATACCGATCACATGTCCGGGTTTTCCTAGCGCACAATGTTGGTAAGCTATATGAATCTCATCCATACATAAATATATAACGTTTAAAGAATTGCGCAACACAATTTGTAAAATATATTTACATGTATGAGAAAGATGAATTTTAAAAGAAAAACAAATATTTTGACACAATGAATGACTTTCATCTATGTCTTTCGGACAAAAGTCATTAGCTTAATCTTAAAAATAGATTTTTCATCAGAAAAAACTTAAGTGCTTTAGAGACATATGCATCGTGTTCTCATAATTTTCAATCTAATAGTCAGGCTATGACCAAATACGTTGATGGCAGTAGTTAAAACCATTTGTAAACCGTAGGACGTGTGAACAAGAACATATATACTTCTAAAAAAAACATGGTAATTTTTTTTACATGATTAGTTTGAACCTTCAAACTTAGTTCATCGCCTTTCGATCATCGCTAAATAAACTAATCATGTTACAGTTCTTGTTCGATTTAACTAGGATTTTTGGAAATATACATTCCTTAAAAATTTTCAAATTTGATATGAATAAAAGGTGATATTCGGTATTCATAAATCTTTTGGCTGCTAAGCAAGTAAAGCCACTGGCGATGTATTGTTTTAATAGTTTTGTAGCTTCACTATAGTATTCTAATAAATATTAAGGATATATGATTTTATAAAACTTCAAACTGTATATGTATATTGTCCCCATATTCTATTGACATTTATATAATCAATTTCAAATCGATAATAATGCAATTCACAAAAAACGTTTTATTTTAAATTGCAGTGCATCATATTGTGGAGGCTGTCATGCAGTTTGGTACTTGAGTGGAGTGCAAGTCATGTGTCAGGAGGGGAAATAATATGTTTATCAATTGTAACAAAAGTTCATTTCATTCAAGATAAAATAAATTTAACGTATAAAATATTTTCAGTATCATATTTTCCCCAGTACCACAATTCCTCCGTGATGCTTAATGAAAATGTATTAAAAATGAAAACAACACGTTATTAATTTCATGCGTCCGAAGTAAAAGGATTAACATTATTTGTTTACTTACTCTTATGAAATGGTGAATCAGTTTATCAACTCCTTATTTGATTTGTAGTTAGTTGAAAAATCCTGCAACTGCTTACCTTTTAGGATCTTGATACACCCCGACTTTTTGTTTAAAGGGAGGGACTACTGTTGCTTAATCTGGTATTTTCTGTTTAGACGACTTTCGAATTCGTGCATTTTCCCGTACTATTCTTACGTCTCAGTAAAAACCTATTGTTCGATGACACCGTTTATGCCGATTGACCTCCTATGAAGTTAAAGGTCAACTACATTTCAGGAAAACTCGTGGTTCAAACTGAAAGAGGTATAGTTTAGATTGTACAAGTTGTTTTCGCATTAACATATCCACTCTTACAGCCATGAACTGAATTTGAATTATATTACGTATGTACTTTTGAATACAACATTTTTTAAATTCTTTGAGATTATACATATATACATACGAGGTACTTAGATATAGATACATATCCAGTTGTGTATGACCCTCATATTTTTATACTTTTATTTCACATTGTATTTCGTGTGGTCAATACTTACTGACAATTAAAACATTTCGTCATCTTTATTTTACACTTCTATTGTTATTATAGTTGCTCCCCTTGAATTGACCAACTTTACAAATTAGACTGGTGGTCTAAGGAGAGAATATATGCAAATTGCAATACAAACAAACTTTCTGTGCTGTTAGATATATAAAGAAACAAGTAGAAAGAGAAAAGGGGTTTTACCAAAAAGTTGTATAATGTGATTGGGTAGTTGTCCTATTGGCGAATACCCCACAGGTTTCACCAAAACATGTATGATCTGATTGGGAAGCTGTCCTTTTGATGTATACCCCACAGGTTTCACCAAAAGTTGTATAATGTGATTGGGTAGCTGTCCTGTTTACGTATACCCCACAGGTTTCACCAGAAAGCTGTATAAGGTGACTGTGTAGCTGTCTTGTTTACGTATACCCCACAGGATTCACAAAAAAGTTGTATAATTTGATTGGGTAGCTGTCCTTTTGACGTATACTCCACAGTATTTATCCCATTATTCTCTATTCTGTAAACTCCCATCTACACCTTCATACATCAATGTACATATCTGTGTACAGTGCTCGTCAAATATGCGTTTGCGTTGGCCTATACCTTGTAATTACCTAAATAGGAAACTTAATAGTCTAACTTAATTTAGATACGATCCGGGTAAACATATCAATCCTTTAAATGAACTTATTCTAAAAGGTTACAAATTCAACACTGTAATTAGATCTTTGAATATTATTTTCTTGGTATAAATATTGATTTTGAGTGTTATCAGTTAATTACAATCATACTAAATATTACTGGTATACACATATACCCTTCCGGAGCAACTGAGATTACCCTCAGTTTTTGGTGGGGTTCGTGTTGTTCAGTCTTTAGTTTTCAATGTTGTGTTTTGTGTACTATTGCTTGTCTGTTGGTCTTTTTCGTTTTTAGCCATGGCGTTGTCAGTTTTTTTTTTCGACTTTTGAGTTTGGTATCTTCCTCGCCTCTCTTTTTCAAGGTACTGCAATCTGTCGATATCTATTGTTTGGCATTGCACAAGGTCATGTTTTTCTCTGACTGTTAACGACGTCTTTACACTAAATCCTTTGGATGTTTGATGTTTAAGTAATTGATATTTTAGTCTTAAATACATGATTGTTTTATTAGCTGTAATTTGCTTTGAATTGACTCTCAGAATCTGTACTCTGAGTGTTTTTTGTTGTGAGGAATGTATAAATACCCTGCCACGTCCGGTATACATTTTTGTTAAATGTTTTTTCTGCTTTGTATCGATCTGATGATTTAAGACCTTTTCAACTGACTTATATAGTTTGTTCATATGTTGTGTTGTGATACCGCTGTTACGGGTTGGGGTTGGTGTTGGGGGGGGGGGGGGGGGGGGTTGAGCGCAAACAAACATGTTTACCCCCGCCCCTTTATTTGTGTGCCTGTCCCAAGTTAGGAGCCTGTAGTTAAGTAGTTGTCGTTTGCTCATGTCCGTCATACATATTTTTCGTAAATTGTTTTCTTTATAAATTAGGCCATTAGTATGTTTCTCAATTGAATGGTTTCATATTTTTTCATGTCGAGGTCTTTTATAGCTGACTATACGGTTTGGGTTTTCTAATTGTTGACGGCAGTATGGATGCCTTTAATTGCTTGCATTCACTTCATTTGAACTTTGGTGGATAGTTGTCTTATTGGTAATTATATCACATCTCCTTATTTTTATATCAGTTGTAGTAAATAAATACTTGCTACAAAATTCCGTGGGCATGAAACTTCTGAAACAAGGTTCGCTCGACCTTTCAGCTTGAAACATACATTACTACTTATTATCTGACAATCCTTTTCAAATATAATGCTAACATATAATGCATTTTGGGTAAAATTTTCAAAAATGTTGACTAAAACGTCGTGATTGGATAACAACGTTTAAATAATAGACATCAAACCAATGACATGGGGTTATTTTTAATTTGGAGTACGATCAGTGAAATTAGATTCTGGCACGGCAAATTAAGATAAAATAGATCAATGCTATTGTAATAACTTTCATTAGAAACACTTTGTGCACCAAATATTAGAATTAGATATAGTTGGGGTCATTTCTTACCTTTCTTTTAATCTATCACGAACTATAAGGGCAGTTCTCCTGGCACCTTTTTAGCAGAAGCGTTTTATTCTACAACAATTTTGCAACTTCTATTATAGAACATTTTGGAAGTTTTTACCTAGAACAGTTTTTGAAAAAAAACTTATCCTGACATTTCTACACTATTTTTGAACTTGGCAGTTCAATATTTAGAATGACATTAACAGTACTTATTTCAGGGCATGCATCTCGATAATTAAGGTCTCTTAAGTGATAATGGAGGACAAAAGTCCAAACCTTAATACAATCGAACGTCGAAGAACAGATAACACCAAATAGAACAGTTCCGAACAGCTCTGTTTCTTTTTATATATTTATCTATTTAAATCGTTGTTTAATTTATTTGATTTATTTAATTCGTTAATTAATCATTTGAATTATTCAATTTGTTTTTTGATTTATTTGATTAATTTTATAGATTTTATAAATTTATTCGCCTATTTTATTTATTGATTTATAAATTTATTATTTTTGAAATTTTATCTAATAGTATATTATATTTTCAAACAAAATAATCTGATATATCGTTGATACTTTAATGATTAAGAATTTTGTTCATTTTTTTAATAAACTGTAAACATATTTTTTTTTCTCTATGGACTGTATAAAAGTGTGCCAAAACTTACATACTTACACTAAATCAATTTATACTGCAACTAGAACACGTCCTGTTTTTTTTATCTAAAACATATAGTAATAAGGTAATGCCGTACTTCGTGCAATGTCGATTTCATATCACGTCACTTTTCTTCACAATGTAGGGTTCGTTTAGGGATGGAAAGTATTTTTTATTCTTATGTTAGCATTTTCATAACTACAGGTAATTGTAGTTGTTTTAAGCTTCAGTATAAAGCCGATATCAGGTCAATGTTAGGCAAATATCAACTTGTTTGTATTCAGTGCGAAACAGTTGAAGAGCTTGGTAAACCTCGCCCTTCCATAGTCATGATAGTGACTAAGCCTTATACAAAAAAGGTTGATATTTTCTGACATTGACATAATACTGTATATATGTATCATAACATAAGATTAAAGTGTCATGTTCCTCGACCTGTGTAATTGTCTTTTCAAAGAGAACATATTACAAAACACAATGTATTGATATTTTTGATAATAACTACGGAAATATTGGAAGTATTTGTCCTCACGGATGAAGCATTATTATAAACATACAAAAATAAGTTTCATTCAAAATTAATTTTAAATATGGAGAAATAACAGAAATAAACATAAATCCAGTTATTTTTATAAAATATCTCGTTAATCCTAATTTTGGCTAACAGCTAACTGTCGCTGTTTTAACTTACGTTAAAGTCAATAAGAATTGTTCTACCTTAGAAAATATTTTGACAGTTCTACCTTCGAACTGATTGTGCCATTTCTAGGATTGTTCAGAACAGTTGAATGACAGATTATGCTAAAAGTATTAAACAGAGGTTAGAACTGATTTTAAGTGTAACTTGATCATACAAAGGGATTTTGTTTTGCGAATACATAAATATATATAAAGCTTTACATCCTTCTCAACTTTTCAGATGGAAACAAAAAACTACTTGTTTAACCGTATAATTCAATGGAATTAGGTGAAACCTGTAGAAATAAAATCGCATTGGGTTGGCCATTAACATAATATTATAATGCTATTTGATATTTCAAAATGTTTGAATAAAACATAACCCATTCATGCTTTGACATATCACTAGTTTTTACATATCTTTTGGTCTTTTTGAATGGACATAATAAAAGTAAAAGGAAGTTGAAGAATCCGGTAATTCTGCATATTTTATTTCTAATTCATATCGAGTTATTAGTTTTTCTGTGAGAAAATACATTACAGTTTTAAGCAATACATATACAATCAGCATTGCTTTAAAACACAGCATATGTTGCCTGAAATTTTGTATCAACAGAATCCGTAGTGGAAAGAGACGTGTTTTAAGATGTTGAAAAATGTAATATTTTTTTCACTTTTGCTTTTTGTTGTTGTAAGAGAAGGTATGTTTATCGTGTTTATTATCATAACTTTATTTTATATTTTGAATAATGTTGTAAATCATTAATAGCTGTCTACAGATTTCTGTGAAAATGTAATTCGATGACTGTAATATCGAAGTATAATATTTGTTTGTTCAATGCAAGTTTAATATGTCAAATCTAACTGGCTGTGATTAGACGGCAGCTTTCCAAAAGGATTTTGCGCGTTATAAATATATTGTTTTACTTTATAAAAAGTACTTGGTGTTTTATCTATTTTCAAATTTCGTTGGGAGTTTATAATTTATTACGTATCGTATTCAGAAATAAATTTCTATGAATAAAAGTAAATGTAGGGTATACTTTAATGTAACAACATACATATATTAAGTTATACGCTATATAGTTGTATATATGATGGATTGGTTACCGATAAGAATAATTATACAACGGAATCATAAGTTTACATTGATCGTATCTTAATTGACGGACTCAATAAACAACATAACAAAAAATACTTTGAAATAATATCCCGCCCCCTGTAAAGGTTTCTAAAGGAACAGACATATTTCCAATCCAAATATCACAGGTTCTGCGTTCAGCCCCAGATTGATGGTTGCGTTCGTGTTTCTAAGTCTTAATGATTTTTATGTATTGTTTTGTGTACTTATCTATCTTCGCGTTGTCTTTCATTTTTTATATTGCGTTGTCAGTTTTTATTGTCCCTTTGGTATCTTCTGAATCATTTTTCTTAACCATGAGACTCCCGCAACAACCGATGTTGAACTCCGGAATGTTCAATAGTACTTATGGTACTAGTGACACACGGTACTTTCTGTGATATAGATGAAGAACAAAAAAAAAAACGCCATCATTTTATTTTTTTCATTATCTTTCGATTGCAAGTCATTAAAGTTATGACTTTGAAGTTAAATTTGAATTATAATTATAGCAATATCCAGAACGCTTTGACCGAAATACAATTAAAAGAATTGTCAAAGAAGGATAAAGTTGCAGGCGTGTCATAAACTGCCAAAGATTTTTGGAGTGTAATCTTGAATTAAAATTTGTCAGCTTAGGCTAAATTAAGAGAAAGCGTTTACATTTGATAAGCACAATCAGATACTTGCAAAAATAAACTTTGATTTAATATTTTGAGTGTGCGTATTCATAATTCATAAATTACAACTAAATTCTTCTTTCATACAAAATATTTGATTTGACTTAGTGCAAGGTTGCAGGAAATGCCCAAAAGGAATTAAAAAAGTTAAGTGCTTTGTAAATCCATGCCGAGGACAGAAGTGCAAGGATGCTAGATGCAGGTAATATTGCTTATAGTAAAACAGATTCAAAATTTAAGAGAACAAGATGTCAATGAGATCAAGTATTATCAACCGAAAACGCTGAAGACGCATACATTTTATAAGTGTTATTTTCATTTTTGTTAATGCAAAATATATATTACATAAAAGTGTACCGAAATGAACTTTAGACAGGTGTATTCTCATAGCATGCTATCGCTAGTTAATTTTGAAAGTATAAATTTAACATGATTAGCATATACAAAATGAAAAATAATATCTGAATTTGGACAACAAACTTAAAGATTCATCGATGACCAATTAATATTATTGTTCAGTAGTTTGTTTCGTGATATATACATCATCGTTTTTTTTAAATGTGCAAACAAATTTTAATGAATCAATTTAATATTTACATGTACATTTTAGGTTTTCATTCATTAAAAACTTGATAAAAATTGTTCTGTCTGATGCCTTTATTTGAAATATAAAACACAAAAATATTGCTTTTGATCGATGCCATTGCTTACTTAAGCTAGCAAACAGATTTGCAGAAATGAAACTTTTGGTGAAAGAAAAAATACTTAGACCATTTTGAGCCAAAATATATACTTGTCTATGAGTTTGCATTAAAAATTTACGAATTAATGCGCTCCACAGTATACATAAAATAAATTGAAAATGGAAATGGGGAATGTATTTATTCGAGATTTCCAGAAATTCAGGGGTTATTTTTAGTAGTAGCTAGCTCCCAAACGGTAGTGTTTCACTACAAGACTTTAAACATTGGTTTAAAATTGGCATTAGAAAGGTGATACATGTACAATTCAGAATATACATGGTTCACATATTTAGAAAGCTGAGAAAAGTGCAAAATTCGGTTGATAAGATTGGGTTTTGAGTTGGCGGTCTGACACCTTCAGGCGAAACTGGATGTACGTAAATGAGACCTTTATCTTGCAATTGACATGATACGGGTTATGGCCGTCTCTCATAATTTATGATTGCATGATACTAAACCCTTTACGGGAATGGTTGATTTTCATATGTTGAAGATGAGTTTAATTGGGATCTGGAGCTGGCATGTAAGTAACTGCTAGTAGTCCTTTGTTAATTCATGTTGATCATTGTCATTTTGCTTAGTTTCTTGTGTTACCTATTCTTAAATCGGACACGAACTTCTTTTAAACTGAGTTTTTCAGTGCGTTTTGCTATGCGTTTGTTTATTCCATATTAGCTAATTGTATAGGGAATGGTTGAGATATCACAAAACATGTAAAACCCCGTCGCATTTCGTCGCCTGTTCCAAGTCAGGAATGTCTAGCCTATGTTAGTTTTGTGTGTTTTTAAATTTTGATTGGCTGATTTTTTTTTTTAATGACCTATTGGTGGTTTTGTGCTATTTTCCTGCACTTTGTTTCTTTGACACATTCCCCGTTTCCATTCTCTATTCTACATAACAAACAGGCAAAATATCTAGGGATCAAATCAGATCTTTGAAAATTGACAAATGATTATATTCTCGTATATCTGTTTTGATCTCTTTTAAAACGGTAATTCTGAGAGAACATGAGTTATTAATAAGTTGTTATTAGCTTTGAATTATCTCTTAGTAACTACAATTTTACTCACTTGATGTATCCAACATTAAGCCATGTCCTCATGCCGACATTAACCACGAGAAATACATTTGTGTAAACTTATAAAAAATATCTTAAATTGTTATCAAGAAAGTTGATGGATATTAGGCTAAAAACACAGCTATGCACACAAAGATGTTGAAATGACATATATGATGTGGAAGCGGCAATATATGATTTTCGCTTGTCATTATAAGATGTGCGCTTGACATTATATGATGTTCATACTTTTACCATTATATAATGTTACAATTTATGTGCTTTTGTTTTTATCAGATGTTATATCGAGATTATCTGAGGTTCACTAGACAATATTGATAACAACTTGATATTTAAGGGTTCAGATATTTGGTGGACATTTCAAAATGTCTATCTCTTAATCAGTATCTGTTTATATATACATGTATATGTCTATTTTCAAGGCCAAATTACTGCGGCGGTTGTAATAGGATATGGTATACAAAAGGTGGTAGCGATGTAACAAAAAGATGTGGTATGTATTTGATGAAATAGTAAATCGTGAGAAAAAAATTAAGTAATACGCATAGTGAGTCGCCAGGTAATACCAATTTCAATTCAATAAGTATATAGGACAGGGAAAAGTAACTGTACAATGATTTCTACTTAATAGAAAAGCAAAGAATATGGGATATCAAATACAGAAGTTTCTGTGTTAAACGTTCAGATAAACAACAATAGAAAAAATATTTAGTTCATGGACGCCTAGATAAAACCTATAGATGTTTATTTGATCAAATATATCATAACTTGGAGATTAATTATGCTTATTATAATATTTATGGATTTTTATCAATAATTGAAAAATAATTTGCTAATGTCTTTTCTGTAGCATTCGAATGTCCAAATAGCAGTGATTGTCTACCAGGAGTACCTCATACGCCATGTTTCATAAATCCATGTGATGGGAAAAGCTGTAATGGCCATCCAAATGCTGTATGTTGGTAAGGGTAAAACTTGTTCTTACATAATAATTCAACTTTTACGTTTAAAACGAATTTACAAATACCAAAAAAAAAAAACCGCATTGTACACTTACAATTTATACTATATTAGTGAATAGGGCACACTTGTTAATAATGCTGATAGAGAATAAATCTTCTATCAAATTTTGTTATTTGCAACATGTAACAAATTATACTAGTTTTTCCTCTTTTTTAATAGTACAATACTAAAACGTAAAAAAAATTAGGTTTTTGGAATAGTATACTTTATAGCTTTACAATTCATTTTCGATATAAAGGAGTAGGTTCGATAAGGCCCTTAATAAAGGCAACAGTAGTATACCGCTATTCGAAATTCATAAATCGATTGAGAAAAAAACAAATCCGGGTTACAAACTAAAACTGAGGGAAACACTTCAAATATAAGAGGAGAACAACGACACAACAGTAACACAACAATAAAATGCAACACACACAGAAACGAACTATAATATAACAATGGCCATTTTCCTGACTTGGTACAGGACATTTTAAGACAAAATGGTGGGTTGAACCTGGTTTTATGGCTAGCCAAACCTCCCGCTTTTATGGCAATGTTAAATATAACATTAAAATGACAAGATTACATTACAGGACTACAATACAAATAAATGGGAGAACATACAGGACAGAGACACACACAAATAATAGCTATCAAAAGGTACCAGGTTTATAATTTAATACGCCAGACGCGCGTTTCGTCTACATAAGACCCATCAGTGACTCTCAGATCAAAAAAGTTCAGAAGCAAAAACAAGAATAAAGTTGAAGAGCATTGAGGACCAAAAGTTCCGAAAAGTTGTGCCAAATACGGCTAAGAAAATCCTTAGTATTTAGAATAATTTATACATTTGCAAACAGTAAATGGTCCCTAATTCTAGCTGAAATTTGAAATTAGGATTTATTGACCAATGTCACAAGGAATCATAGGTAATATAATGTCTAGTTTGAAAAAACTTTTTTTGTTGAAAATTTATGTTTTTGCGTTCTATTCATGACGTCACAAATAGCACTCATTTTAATTTTCCGCGAAAATTCGATGAAAACGGGTAAATTTACGTTGATTTTTTGTAGAAGAAACATAGAGGGCATGCGTCGACAACAAAGATAATTAATCCTAATGTTTGTTATGACATTTTACATATCTAAATTGAATATTTTGTTTGTCGACGCCTGCGCTCTATGTTACCTAGGTCTTACTATGGTTGAAATCCGGACGATTTTGTCCAATTTCGCAAAAATCTCTATTTTTAACCTATTTGCTATGTCAAAATCAATGCTTATAAATAAAACTCAGGCAGGAATAGTTCTATATAACTTTCTCGCATGTCTTTTCATCAACTTAAAACACATTTTATCCTGAAACATTAAACTTAATAATCGGGGCCAAATTTGGCCCTTACCGAACTTACTGCTTTAACTTTAAGCAACAGTGGCAAAAAGACGCGAAGGATACCAAGGATACATTCAAACTGAGAAGTAGGAAAATAAACTAACAACGCAATGACAAAAAAGAAAAAAAAATAAGACAAAGGGCACCACACAAAAACAACATGGAAAACTAAAGACTGAGCAACAGGAACGCCACAAAAAATCGTGGGTGATCTCATGTGCTCCATAAAGCTAAGCAGATCTTGTCCACATGTGACATTTATATAACAAGTACGTAATTGTCTTTTTTCAGTCCAGTATATTGTGGAGGATGTCATGATTTATGGTTTGTTAACGGTTTGAGAGTCACTTGCCAATAATAAAGAAGAAAGTGTATTGTCTTTCAATAAAATTAAGTAAGATTTCACAACTTTGTTTCTTACTTTAAAAAATCTTGTGCTGTGGACGCTGATAGATGTGTGTTTAATATTTAATAATATATAATGCTAAACTAAATCGGCACGGATGCATATAAAACAGACAACAAATACAGCCCTTGGATGGTGTAAACTTCCCAAAAAACGTGAATAGCGTAATGGTGTATGGCATATGGTGCAATGGTAGAAGGTGTATGGTGTAAGGGGAATGGTGTAATGGTGTAACGTGCGATCGGGAATGGTGTGAATGAATGTTGTACGACATTTAAAACTATGCAAAATACAATAAATATTGATAAGAACTGATTTTTAATTTTATACATTAATTAACAATATTGTGATCAAAATTCGTTTTTTAAAATAAATAAATAATTTTGTAGTCGCACGCTTTCTTTGAAATTAAATTGCATTATGATGTAATGTGTAAGGTGTATGGTGAAAGGTATCACGTGTATGGTGTAATGGCACAGGGTGTATGGTGTAAAGGCACAGGGTGTATGGTGTAATGGTGTATGGTGAATGGTGTAATGGTGTATGGTGTTAGTGGGAAGTTTACACCATCCAAGGACTGTAGCTAATACCAATTTGGAGATATCCGTCCTTATAGGTTATTGGTATAATCGCTTACCGGTCTGTCTTTGCTAATACTATAAACAACATCATTTTCCCTGTCGTATGTCTGATCTTTTTAACCTTATTATCACACCATGTTTAATTTATCAAAAGAATATATACCCCTTCCACTAACACTATTTCTAAAAGTTTGTAAAAAGGGAACATAGCAATCATACATCAGTGTAAAAAGGATTTATGCCAATAGGAGAATGTGGAATAAACAAAGTTATTTCACGACGGAAAGAAAATGATTTCAAGACTGAACGGTGCATACCCTTTCAGCTTAATATGTTAAGCTTCATAGTTCTTTCTTGTCTTTACTTTTAAGTGGATGTGATTATTTTGGGGTACTTTTGTTGCTGTTAAGTTTTCTTATTTGGAGGATGATACTTCATATGACGACAAATTGTGTTAATCACCAAAACAAGTGAAATAGAGACTTGCAAACACATAATATCGTTCACAAAAATAACCGTTTACTTTTTCAAAAGCCTACTCACTTTTGCTTTTCAATCTTTCAAAATGAAAGAAGTGTGTGTATGTGGGTTGGTGGTGGTGGGGATGGTAGTTTTTTTTGGGGGGGGGGGGGTATACAAAAGACAGCCATCCACATAGCCAAAGAAAATACTACAAGGCTACAAGACAAATAAATAAAACAAGTGGTATGGGAGTTTAAATTTTCGTGCCTTCTGCACAGTTTGTTGCGCAGTGATATCGTAAGTCATTCTGATTGCCGAAATTAGCCACTTCAATTAATTTGGATTTTTACAATTAATCAATTTGAATTAAATACATTGAAGATGGTGAATAATTGTAAACTTTATAAAGTTTATTATTGCAATTTTCATTTTTGCAAATGCACTTCCGTTTTGGAAAAAGGAAAATGTTATTGTTGTCGGAAAAGAGACATAGACACGATAATTCATAATAATCGAACAACTGGACTGTTTTTCAGGAATACTGTAATGCAGATCTAAATTTTAGATAACGATCACAATTTTGGTAGCTTATGAAGCAGTTTCACACTTGTTTTACGCTCGAAAAGAACCAGCAAATATGCGAAAAATGTATGTTAACAAAAGTTGATGTGTCTGTAAAATAAGTATTGCACAGTGTCTGTCATTAATTTATCAGTGTAGATCCTTTCAGAAAAATGACCAAAATAACGTCCGCCGTCGAAAATAAATTGGGAAGAGTGTTGTCAGGTCATTAAAGATGCTCTTTCATCCTATTGTATAAATTGGTGTAAACGGGGGAAATCTGACAAAAAAGTCGTTTGATTCCTATTTTAATAAATGTCTGAATATTGTTGATATTCGCCTATCACATTTCAAAAAAAATTAAGAAAAAAATAAAAGAATAAGTAATACGCCCATTTTAAGGATTAAAAACTAAATTCGAGTACTCTTAAAAAGCGTTTTGTGTTCGTACCAGCCGGTATATTGTGGAGGATGTTATGATTTATGGTGTGTGAATGGTGTGAAAGTCACTTGCAAATAATAAAGAAGAAAGTGTATTGTCTTTCAATGAAATTCGTACATGTATTCATGTTCGTTTCTGTGTGTGTTACATTTTAATGTTGTGTTTCTGTTGTGTCGTAGTTCTCCTCTTATATTTGATGTGTTTCCCTCAGTTTTAGTTTGTAACCCGGATTTGTTTTTTTCTCAATCGATATATGAATTTCGAACAGCGGTATACTACTGTTACCTTTATTTACAACATTTGTTTGTATCTGTTTGTGTTTGTGTTTGTTCTAATCAAATTGTCAACTAAGTCATTAAGAGGGAGATAACTCAGAGTATAATTTTTATAAAGGAATGATAGAGAAATTTTTACTTGTAGCAAGAAAACAAGGTCGGTCACACCATTTTGTCTTTTTTTTTTCTTAAATCATATTTAAAAATCTATTTTCTCTACTTTATTTCAAAATTCCATCCATAGATTTCTTTTTATTCACACAAAAACCTTTTTTTTTTGACAAAATATGCAAATTTGGGCAATTTTTCACAACTTGTAGCTTGAAAAATAGCAGGGTGACCCATGCTTTAAATTATATTTCTGAAAAAAAAGCATGGAAAATCTACATTCCGGCAGAGTATAAGAATTATGGATGTTAAAAAGGTAAATTATGCAGGATCATTGTTGAAAAAAGTAATCATGCAGGATTATAGTTGAAAAAAGTGAACATGCAAGATTATGTTTATTATTTATTTTAAATGTAAAACATAAATTGATAATTTGAAAACACATTGATCATTTTGGTGAATAATCAATGAAGTAATGGGACAACACTATTTCATCACATCTAATCTCTTTATCAAATTTAAATCTGGATGAAATCTGCAGGTTATGGTTGACCGATAGGATGTATATGTGTCTCAACTGACAAGCAACATGTTTCCGTGGTCTAAGTTATTTGGGTACCAGAATATGCGTCTTATCTGTTAATTTTCCTATTGTGCACTATTCCTTATTGTCAGATTTTGACTGAGTTTGGATTTGCATGACCAGTAATGCATCATAGCAGGAGACGTGTACTCTGATAACACACCTGGTTCCTCTCTGTTTTGATTTCATGCGATTCCGGTTTTTAATTTGTATCGTTGATTTGTATATTCTGAACTGATTTATGAAACTACAGCATCGTTGCTCCTTATTGAGAAATTGCACTCGTCCGGGATCGTGGCTGAATAAACTTGTGTAAAGTTGGAACAACACTGAAATGCAAGATTTGTAATACATGTTTTAGCCAAACAAAAATACATTATCATGTTCCTGTAAATATATTTTCCAAAATTGGCAACTTTTTTATTAAGGATGTTTGCTTCTCTTGTTTTTGACTGTTTGTCATACATTGGAATCCTCTAGTTTTATCCATGTAGTGTCATTCAACATTCAGCCAGCACACCCCTACTTTTCTTTTCATAATGTTATTACATTTAGTTTAAAAAGCTATTTTTGAAAGAAAAGAGGATGCCAATTATAAATGAATAAAAAATCTAGAGAAAATCTTTACCCGCCGAATTTTCAATTGCTTATATCTCAAAAACAATAACACGGACTTTTTTTTCTGCGCTTAAGATGAGTTATCTATATACTATCAATTTATGATAGTCTTTTGAACCATATTATTTTATAACAGAGGAGGAAACATTCATAATTGAAAACAATAAATAAAAATTCATGGTTTCAAGTTAACGATTTGTGAATTTTTACTGCATTTTGTAGAGCTTATTTTTTGTAGAATTTCAGTGTCCAAGAATAACTGTTTACCATGAGTTGTTGAAGTAGTGACTAGGTTTGTGGATCCGTGCAACCCCCGGGCACACCGATCACATTTCCGGGTTTTCCTAGCGCACAATGTTGGTAAGCTTTATGAATATCATTCATACATTAATATATTTTACGTTTAAAGAATTGCGCAACAAAATTTTTGAAATATATTAATGAGAAAGATGAATTTTAATAGAAAAACAAATATTTTGACATAATAAATGACTTTTGTCTTTGTCTTTCAAAAAAAGGAAATAGCTACATCTTGAAAATAGATTTTTCTCCAGAAAAAAAATTAAGTGCATAAGAGACATATGCATAGTGTTCTCTCATAATTTAGTAGTCAGGCGATGACCAATGATATAAAATGATTTTAATCGATCACTATGCAGTTCACGAAAAAGTTTTATTTAACATTGCAGTGCATCTTATCGTGGAGGCTGTCATGAATTTTGGTACTCTGGCGGAGAGTCAGTCACGTGTCAGCCGGGGAAATAATATGTTTATCAATTGTAACAATAATTCTTTTTATTCCAGATAAAATAAATTTAACGTATAAAATATTTTCAGTATCATATTTCCCTAGCCCCACAATCCATCCGTGATGCTTAATGAAAATGTATTAAAAAATGAAAACGACACGTTATTAATTGCATGCGTCCGAAGTAAAAGGATTAACATTATTTGTTTACTTACTCTTAAGAAATGGTAAATCAGTTGATCAACTCCCTATTCGATTTGTTGTTGAATGGAAAATCCTGCAACTGCTTACTCTTTAGAATCTTGATTCACCTTGACTTTTTTGTTTAAAAAGTCGGTGCTACTGTTGCTGAATCTGGTATTTTCTGTTTAGACGACTTTCGAATTCATGCAATTTCCGGTACTCGTCCTACGTCACAGTGCTTATGTTATTACGTCACAGTAAGAACCGATTGTTTGATGACGGCGTATACGACAAACAACCTCGTTTCAACTGGTGTAACTTATTCATAAAAACAAATCGAGATTGGTGTATAGTGTTTTGTAGACTTGTCTTTGTTTTTTGTCGTTTTTCCTT